TATATATATAATGACAGTCCACAGAGAAATTTTGGTGCTGAAATGAGCTATTTTTGACCCGTGTTTGGTTCATATCTCTGTTAAACGTCAAGATAGCGAGCTGAAAATTTGACCACAGCATCCTCACTTCAGCCCCAACATATGCTCCAAATTTCAGCCCATTTGAACGTACCTGGGCTGAGATCGATTTTTGAGGGGGGGCCTTAAATAATTCATAAAACAAGAGTATGATACATATAACTTTTTCAAGTAGTTCTCATAGTATTCGATAGAAAGATTAGTTCTTGCCGATTAATTTACATATAGACGTTTTCACATATAATTCTTTCTAACACATTTAAGCATATTGTTGAAGAAAAATTGACATTAGTAGTAAGCAAATTTTGTACATTAGAACAATAAATTAAAGTTTCATAGAAGAAAAATCTATCATTTCGAAACTCAAATCTTCAAATATCATTATGATGAAAACATCTTTCTTTTCAGTTGCAAAATTTTTATAATGATGACAAATAAACAAAATACTTGTACTATGATGTAAAGTTTTTACTTCGGAAGGATAAATAAGTATTATAATACATTCTTAAAATTTCTCATGTTCTAATGAAACTTTTGTTTATTAATCAAATAAATACTTACTATGCTGATTTTTTTCAATATTTTCTATAGCTTTTGGAAAATCATTTTTAAATGATTGAGGTAAAAGCATTGAAAAAAATGGTAATTTAACTTCAAAACTTCCAATACGTGTAAGTCTTAAACGATGTTGTCTATGACCATGATCACCACAAAGTATAAATATTGTATTATCTAATAAATTTTGTTGATATAAATCTTGAAAAAATTTTTCTAAATCTTTATCAATCCAAAAAAGTCTTTCTAAATAATCATGACTCATTTCATTTATTTTTAATATACCAAATGTTGGATAATTTGATGTTTGATGATAAACATTTAAAAATTGTTTAAGCCAATTTAATGATAAAAAATGTAATAATTTATCTAAATAACATGGTTTAGGATTTGAATTTCCTGAAAATTTATTATATGATAATGTTTCATATAATGATAACCAATATGGACGTAAATAAAAATCTGTTGGTGATTGACGAAAACCATTTTTTAAATTATAAAAAGCACTTTCACGCCATTCTTCACTAAAAAATGTTGTATAATTTAATTGTGAAAAATTTTTTATTATAAATGAATAATTATCATATGGTCCAGGATAATGAACAATTTTATTAATTATTTTTGATTTTTTTGTTTTTGGATCAATTTCAATTTCTGTTATCGGAAATTCATATCGACTATCATTTATATTTGGATTTTGTAAATCATTAGCTGATCGACCAAATAACATAGGAACAATATTTTCAAATGTACCATCACCAACAATAGCATGACGTTCAAATGTATATAAACCAAGAGATTTTAAATATGATAATGTTCGTGGTAATGCTCGATGTGCTTGAAGATTACTAACAGCATCAAGTATAATCATAATTACAGATGGTGGAGATTGATGTGATGAAAATAATGTTGAAAAATTATTAGATTTTTTTTCTAACCAAATATCATGAGAAAATGCTGGTTTTTTTAAACGAATTAATGGATGTACATATTCATAAACAAGACTATTATTTCTAATTATTGATAAAGATTTTTTAGTAGTTTGATTTATTTTATTATCATTTGAACAATTATAACCACTAAAGAAAGAAATGAATTTTAAGTTTTTTTTTTTTTTTTTTTTGTTTTAGAAAAAAAAAAATAATCATCAAGACAATTTTTCTTAATTAAAAAAACAAAATTGTCAGTACGATCCCATGAGTGACCAATGTGTAAAACTCACGTACTCTGACTTTTATAAATTTATGTTATATTATTAGAGGAATGAAAATAATTTATTTGCATAAAAAAAATGCCAAATAAATGAGTAAGTCGAAATAATAATAATTCTTCTAGTTAATATGCACGCTCTCAAATTTTATCATGTCGAAAATGTTTGCATTTAGAATTACTATTCTAACAATTGATTAGATCGTTGTACTGGAAAAACTTATTTGTATTGTCAGATACTTCTTTTTTTCCTCTAATGAAATAATATGAACGATATGTTGTTATAGGAAATAGCAAATATCATTTTATTCTTCGTTTCGTCGGTTCAATCACAATATTAACTGGCCATTTACATTGATTTTATCTCCGAACATTCCTTTCATTCTCTCAACGAACTTCTACATCTACTGTTGAGTTTTGTCTAAACTTACAATTCAATTAGTTCATACTTTTCTGACTCTGATAGATCAATGATGTCACTTACAATAAGATCTTTTCGCTGCATTAAATACAAAAACTTGCAATATTACATTAATTAGAGTCTACAGTAACAATCTTAGATTCTAGAAAGTTTCGGAATGATCTAAACATTATTATTACTGAGCGCACTGTTTTTCATTGCTAGAAAAATGTATCGAATGATATTTGGCTTTCCTTCTTCTACGTCTAGCTGCTAGGATCTAGAAGAGAGTCACAAAGATCATGATTGAAGCTTACACTCTATTTTCTTCGAAAATATACAGATGTTCCACAACAATACGTCCCCATAATGAGCATAAATATCTATGATATATTGTAATATACTGATTCAAAACGAGCACGTATGAGTACTTAAATGTCGTAAAGATCCACTTCAAATTGATGATGTTGATAAATTACAAAAATAAATTTAGAATTCCTTTGGAAATGTAATAAAACTTCTATGAGACAATTAATACTATATTGATATTTGTCTTGAAATAGAAGTTTTAGTGAATTGTTGCATGTAGACGATCAATTTTAGTTATGGTCATTGAAAACGAGACTATAAGAAAAAAGTTCTCTCAATCAGAACTAAAGATTATAGTTCGAAGAGAAATATCTTATAAATCATATCAATTAAAAACATAAAAATTCTTTTAGATCTGATACGAATAAATTCTGAAATAATTTTCTCTAGACTAAATTCCAATGAAAATTAGTTGCACTCTACATCAAGATGCAGATTTGATTCATGAAATTTTATCTATTTGACTTAGACATATCAGTTTGAGCCATTGAAAAAAAAAGCATCATGTATCAAGTATATCATATGACATATTGAGGAAAGAATAGACACACTCATCAGTTTATTATCAGTTGAAGAAGTGAAAATAATTCGATACAAAAATAATATTAACAAATTTTATACCTCTTATATGATATTATATCCTGTTATGACAATAAACTTATTTTTCTTTTTCTAGATTAGATATCTACACAATAAAATCAAAAAATATCATTTAATAACGCTATTGAAGAAATATTAAAAAAGAAACTACTGTTTAGCAATAAATCTTACAGTGACAATAATAATAATAATAATAATAATAACTTAGATGATACTCGAGTTCTACTTGAAACTCGAAATGCATTGAGAAGAACAATTCAAATATCAATTATAAAGAAATCGATTATTTATCGATTACGAACAATTGTCTTCTTAAAAATATTTAATATTTAGTCTTCTATTGAGACTATAGTTTCTTTCTTTTATCTAACGTTACATTTCGATTAAGTCATTCTAAAGCGAGAAATTGATAAGTAGATATGGCAACATCTATTATTACGAGAACTCTATTTATATGTATCTAAAGAATGTTAGCAATTCATTATTTATTATTAATAGTTCTAATAACTGTTTAATATGACTTCATTTATTCAAAGAATTTCCTATGTTCTTATTAACGGAAGTTTCTTTCTTTTGTATTTCTACTATTAATTGTTATTCATTAGATATTTAAATTTTATTTTCATGTTCGAATGAGCATTCGGTTACATTAAAACGTATTTCTATGCCTATCAATCTTTACTATCTAAAAACATGCTTTTCTTTTTTTTTCTCTCCTTCATCTTGCTTAAATTTAAAAGACATTTATAAGAGTATGTGTAGATGACATATGTGAATACTTATAAATTATCTTTTTGCACGAACATACAATGCATCAGTTATTTAATTATTTCTATTAGTTAAAGCCTCAAATCAGATAATATTACAGAGAAATTTCTAGTTAAATTCATTTTATTTTAATTATCTCAAATCGCATAAAAAAAGAAAAAAACAAAAATATTTTATTTTTCCAGAATTTTCGTATCAACGTTATTCAACAAGGAATTCTCACATGATAAGATAGAAAACCTATTAACCCCTAGAAGTTATTTTTAATATATATAACATGAAGAGTCATGTTGTTCTGCACATTTTCCTATGATGAATTTCGTTGTTTTTCCATTACACAAGGGGATGATACGAGCCACAGGCTTGTGTAGAAAAGATAACGTGCTTATTTAAGTACTCAAACGAATTACCTTTTTCTTTTCTCAAAATATTAATATTGAATATTTTTGTTAAGGATGTGCTCATCTGCTTTTGTGATCCAAAATTTTTGTTACTATTATTTCGTTTGAAGTAATATTTATCTATTGAGTGCATTTTTCAATAAGAAAATTATCTTTAGACATTAAAAAATTTGAAAAGAAATCAAATTAGTGAAATCAGCATGACAGATGCAGTCGACTAATATTTAATTTAGCCAAACAAACATTCTTTTTGAAAAGAAATCAACCATGTTTATTTCTTTTAAACTTTTATCTGTTAGCCCTCAGGGTATCTTACTGTCAAAATGTTTGACTAAGATATATAAAAAATTTCACCCGATTTTTTTCTGCTTAACTTGTTTTTTTTTGTTGGAATTTTACTCTGAGGATTAATTTTGATACAAGCTGACTGAACGTAAGCCTTAAATCAGTTTAAAAGAAGGATTTTTTCAAATTAATACATAGAATTTCAGATGATAAAAAATTTTAAGTGTTTTAGCAAGCAAATTTCGTAGAGAAAATATTGGCATCATTTTTCAGAAAATTTCACAGATGGATTATTCTTTTGATTAAGAGAAAAGTCAACCATACGATGCAAAAATATCATTTTTCACCTTATTATGACTCTTACATCTGTCAGTAGAGAAAGAGAATTTGTTAAGTGTTTTTATAGAAGGAAGAAAAGCGTATTTAATTAAAGTATTCAATATCAAGAATACTTATGAAAAGTAGAAAAATCGTTTGTTCCAGTATTTAAATATGCATGTATCTCCAATGTATAAGGCTATGGGCCATATCATCTTGTTATTAATAGAAAAGAAAGTCAAATCTAACATAAGAAAATAAGGTGCAGACAAACATGATCTTTCATGTTGCATATACTAAAAATAATTTCTAGATGACAGATTTTCTATCTTATTACACAGACGTTCTTTCTCAGATTGAATGTCAAATTTTCTTTCATATATTCGACTTGAATATTGTTCTACTCACGAGATCATAATGATAACTTTCGATGGGTATATCTAGTGAATAAATAAAAATTCGCGATAAATTACTCTGTAGGTACTTCATACATTAAAAGCTTATATTAATCTATATAAATATGATGCGTCATATCGCATTGAATAGAATTCTTTTTAATATTTCATATTCATAATTTTCCTTCGAGTATAATTATATTACTGTTAGATATAATATTTTTTTTATTGTTTTCTTAATTAATAAACTTACCAAAAATATTCGCCATGAAAAAATCCAGTTCGATTATTATAACAACGTGTTAGAACAAAATCAACATCTAAAATAGGATTTGTATTTCCATTAATAATTAATATTGGTTCCGATAATGTATACGACCAATCACGAAAATATTTTTCTTCAGGATTTCTATTAATTTTTAAATAAATACAATGTGTTATTGAATTAGAATAATCTGTTCTATTCACTGTTTGATTTATAAATAATTGTGTATAATTAACAACATTTATTAAATTTTGTTTATTTTTTGGACATTTATATAATGGTTCAAGATGTATTGATTTTGCAATTGTTTGATCCCATGGATCAAAATGTGGTATATAACAAATAGATGATGATAATTGTTCATTTTTTTCAATCGTATTATATGGAATTAATGTTTTAATAGATGAAGGTGTTATAAGTATAAGACGATGATAAACAATAAGAAAAAAAATTATATTAATACTAAATAATAGATAAAGTAATTGAAAACGTGATCTTGAACGAATTGGAATAATTGAAGTTCGATATTCATATAGATGTAATCGATGATATAATTTCATTGATGATTCTGATATGATTAATTAAAATAAAAAGTAAATATTTTCATTGTTGTTTTTAATTCATTAGAATAAAATTGATTAGCAGTATTTAGTATAAAGAATAACTCGAATGACATCCTATTGTTTTGATTTGGTCTGAAGAACACATTCATATCACGAATAGCTTTTGTCAGCATATATTTAAATATAAAAAGAGAAATGAGAGAAGAACTTTTTTTTTCTCCCTTGACGAGTACCGATGTTGCCGTAATTTTTTTTATTATATTACAAGACATAACGAAGAGAATAGAAAGAAAGAAATTCAGCAAAAGAGACAAAGAGGTTTTTATTATTCATTTATCGGTAAGGTCTTTCTGATTGTTTGTCTTTATTCAATAAAATAAATCGACTTACAATGACAATTTATATGATGACAATAAAAAATGACTTGAAAAAAGTATATCTATACATATTAAATCATGTTGATCGTTAGAATAGTCAAAAACAAATAAAAGAAAAAACGCTTCTCACATACTTAATGATAAATAATGTGTTTTCTTTAATGATGTAAATGTATATATATATATATATTTTTTTTTTATCAAAACTATTTCTCAAATTTATTAATCATTTACAAATAAGAAAATATTCAAATATCTATAAACAATTTATTTTATTACATTGAAGTTGTTAAACAAAACAAAGAAAAAAAAATCATAAAAATTTATTTCTTACCTTTTTGATAACCGACTATTTTATAGTGAAAATAGTTGATTATGTCACTATTTATTCTTTGCTATTGTTAGTTCAGACGACACTCATTTTACTTCTTTTTTTTTTTTGAAAACCAAATGTCTACTATACTATTACAGTAAGTAAGTAGATACTTTTATAATAACGAACGAATAGGGTGGATTATGATGAGTCTTTTTCGCTCATCGTTTATTATCAATGATACCCTAAGATGCTCTCGTGTGAACGGATGTACAAAAGATAATACACAAGCGTATATATGCATGTCTCCTAGTTTATGTATTTAAATACACAATAAAGCAACGCTATTGGGATTAGCACATTCTATAACGTATCCTAAGAAAATCAGCTTAATAGAATTGTTGCTAGTCTATTGAAAAATAATTATAGTAGACAGTCAGAGCAATCAGATGATTACTTTTGTGACATTTGTGACAATAAACAAGAAAGAGAAAAAAAAAAACGAAAACTTTATTATTAAAATAGATAAGAAATAATTTATTCAAGCATACAAGAAAGTAATAGAAGGTTAATAGGAGCACACTGAAAGCTTTATGTGTTGAAAGAAAAAACAAAAAAAAAAAAGGGTGAAATCTAAAGGAAACGATATCAAGTTGAATGAATTATGACAGATAGAAAAGATATTTATATTCTTTTTATTTGTTAAGATTTGACTTTGATCATAAACAGAAAAAAATTCTAAGGACATTTTTTTTTCTCTTTTGGGATTACAAAAAGAAAAATGTTTTATTCCTTTCACATATATAATTAACTGTTTGATTCGTTTATTTGTTCATATCTAATTACTCGTCAACGAAGTCTTCATAGTAAATTAAGCCTTTGTAATATAATACTGAGTTTCGTAGGAGAAAATCGAATGGCATATATGTGTATTCGTAAGAAGAAGATATTTGAATAATGTATGTGATTTTGTCGGAGAGCGAGAAAAAATCTTATTTTCATCAAGAACAACTGATATACTTGAAAAAATCATGACAACATATATTGAAAAGATGGTTGATTAAATAATAGAGCAGCCTGATTGGCTCTGATGCTATAGAAATAGAAGACTATGCATTGCACTGAAGCCTTTGTAAAACATAGACATAGAGTCTACTTTACTTAGAGCACATTTTAGTTTTATTGTTCTTTTCTTTTTTGTTTTTTTGAACAAAATTTATTTCTTTCGTTCTGTGCGGAAATGATTTCTTCTTTCTATATATTCACAAAATAAAAAATAAAATAATGAATGTTTTCATGTGTTACGTTTCTTTAAAAGCAACATTATTGAATAGATTCAGCATATTTTATTATATAAAGAATGTAAGCCTGAAGATGTAAACACTAGACTCTTACGAGAACAACTTTTTGTCGATTGCCTGATTGTATTCTCATCAGACTTTCGGAAGTCCTATTCCTGTTTCTTTCTTTTTATATATTTGAGGAAATATATCAGTATTATAAAATAACATTTTATGACATTATGCTATATGTAAAATGACACGACTTGAAATGAAATATCAGAATGATGATGGGAAGCATAGGTGGTTAATTACATAATAAAAAAATCAAGTAGAGAGGGTAACGATATTAGCTGTCACATATGTTCTCTTTTACTTCTTGTTGTAAGCATATCTATTGATGTTTTATAATATTTATTTGTTTTCTTCTTAGGTACAATAATTCATAGCAAGCATTTTTTCATAGATCAGACAAACATGTCATTTTTTTTTAAAATTTAGAATAGTCTTATTTTTTGTTCAATATTACTTTATTATCTATCAAATTTTAAATCCGACAAGCAAACTTCATTGTGAAATGATCTTTACTCTAAATATATGTGACATTGAGATTTTTTTTTATTCAGGGATGTGGCGAAGAGAAAAAAGTGGAGGGGTGCAAGAAAATTTTTTTCAAAAGTTAAGGGTGTATTCAGAAAATTTTTGAACGTGAGAGGATGCATTTACAAAATTTAAAAAAGTGGTGGGGTGCAGAACCCTATTTTTCCATCTTATGATCTTTTTTTTTCAGTAAAAACACAGATTTTTGCTGGGGAAAAGCGATAATTTTCTAAAAGTGGGGAGGGGGGGGGGGGGCGCACCCCCCCCTGCACCCCGTGGTCGCCACATCCCTGTTTTTGTTAGAAGACAAATACTTTATACATCATTCAATGATGATTGAAGATATGAAGTTAGTCTTCAATAAACATATTTCTATGTTTGAGAAAAATAAATTTTATCTAGAAGAATTTTAGTCCGGCCCTGGAACGGTCTCACTAATGCTATGTAGATGTCGTTAGCGGAGAGGCATTCTGTAGAAGCTTCATCCAATTTGAATTTATGGAAAGTTTTGCATAGCCATCATACTGAACACATGTTTTCGTAAAAACATTTGATATAAAAAATAAACGAATGCCTTTTTCAAATCCTAAACAAATAAAAGCAAAAGCTTTTTATTTTTATGAATGAATAGAATGAAAGATTCAGTGACAGGTTATATATCATTTTCTCCTTATTGTTTTGTTTATTCATAGTAAAAACACAAGACTTTTAATTCTTGCTAGTAATATTTTCCGATAAGGTATTTTCTATGTTGTCCGACTGATACTAATAAGAGAAATAAAAACTTTTATTTCATTAAATAATCCATATGTTAGGAGTAGTATTTTCTTCAGAACTTCTCTTCCAGAAGAACAAATACTTATTTTTCAGAGTATGGATATATAGTACATTGTAGACTAAGCACAAATTTAGTGAAGGCCAATTAGATCTTTGGAGAACTGTCACCTCCTCAGCCGTCACACTATATAAAATATTGTGTTCGAATATATATTGTTCTATTTAAACGATAAAAATGTATATTTTTCAAATTTTCATCTAATCTCCATAGTGCGTCTTTTCTTTTTGTTCGTCATTTAATTAAAGTACATCGATAAATCTTCATTCAGTTTCAAATAAATTTATCATCATTTTATTGTCTGTTATCTGATTGTGCATCTCAAGAGAAAAAAATTAGAGACTCTATACTTGTAATCTTATAAGATTTAATGAAGTCCATTGTAATAAATTTCTACTAAAAAAAAAAAATATCTTAATTCAAACAAAAATAAAACATATGAATATTTATTCTTATTTCTATTCTCAATAAGAATACGACAAGAAAATAGTTCTTTGTTTTTTTTTTTTTAGAGAAATTGTAATAATTGAAAATTTTAAAATATATATAATAGAAAGAAATTGAAATAATTTCTTTAGTTAAATTATCTTTTTAATAATACTAAGAAGAAAAAAAAAATTCTTTATAATATCTATTTCAACTTCATTGTTGTATTTTTATTCAATACATTTCCACAATTTCATATGATTAACATTTTCAGACAAGTAAATTAAATAAAAATTTTTCATTGTATTTTACAGTCTATATTATATTGCGCCTAAGATGATCTACAATGAGGCGCTTTTTTTTCCAAGTCGAAAATGCATGCCAGCACGTTTACCAAAACGATAAGGCATGGCAGCTCGTTTGCCAAAACGGTATGGTATAGCCCAAACACGACTATCACCACCATTACCATTTGAAGTACTACCACGAGTGACTTTGTTTGCATAACGTTTGCTTATTAATTCTGGCCAAATTTGTTTATAATTAGAAGGTTGAGGATAATCATAATCATATTCTTCAGTGCTGAGATTTTCATCACCTGTTAAAGGAAAAGATTTTGAAGCTAATTGTAAATCGTCAAGAGTAACATGATGATTTGGAAAAACAGCAGCTGAATTTCGCTAGAAATTAATAGAGTAAGGCAAGACAAAAAAAAAGAATTAGTTTTTTTTTTAGAAAAACAAAAAAAAAATCTTATAGTTAACCTCATCATCAGAGGACTGGGATAATTCTGTTATCATGGCTGTTGATGGCGGTATGTTAGTTGCAGTTATTAATGTCGTCATAAGAATAACAATTGATAATTGAAATATGACAAAATTTGATAATATCATCATGATTATTTTGTCTTTGACTATATAAGAGACGAGAAAAAAAAATATTATGTAATTATGATTGATGAATTACGACAACTAGAGAAAGAATATATCAATAGCTAAAACAATAAAATATGAAAAGTTAAGATAAACTTAATTGTCAGATGAAATCAGGAAATAATAAAAGATAATGAAAAAAAAAAAAAAGAAACATTCAAAAATTTTTGTTTTTTTTCTTAATGTTCTAATTCGAATAAGTTCAATCTAATAAAGAAATTCTTATTCAATAGAGAATTTTAATATACATCTCCATTTCCTCGTAGCCCTTATAGCTCAGTGGTAGAGCGCCAGTCTTGTAAACTGGAGGTCCGTAGTTCAATCCTGCGTGGGGGCATTTCTTTTATTTTTTTCTTATCTTTAATTTGAATTTCATTTTTTCGTATTCCATCTCTCTTTAATTTACTGTTCCTATTCATATCATTCTAAATATATAAATATAACAGCTGACGCCAATCATAAAAAGAATAGAATAATAACTATTTTATATATGCTAGTTATACTTACATTTTAGATTCTAAAACAATTTATTGTCTACACCAAGAAGATATTCTATGTTGCAGCTATATTGTTTTTTTTGAAAATGAAGCAACTTAATGGTAGGAATGAAGGCATTATATTTTCTAGCAAATATTTTATCAAATTTATTTTTTATGAAAAGAAAACCATCCGGGATATCATATCTTACTATCTTCTCAATTATAGTCAATAAGTTTATTCTTTTTTTTCTTATCTAAACTCTTTGTTTTTTCTTTTTGGCCTATCTTTTCCATTTTTCTACTATTCATCCTTTTCCATATAAGATTTCAACAACACTCTGTTATTGATCCAACCCAATTTTAGATACACTCAAATTCTCATAACAATTTTCCGAAAAAACATAGCCTGATTGATCCCTCTATACTGAAACATGATAAGATGTCAAGTGTAGATCTAAATAGCCTAAAGGATCATAACATATTTCTATTTCACTAAATGTAGTGCATACTTATATAAGTAAAAATAAAATATCTAGTGCCTATAATAGCATTTGTTTTAATTACAGTAAAAAAAAAGAAATGTCTTTATATCAAACTTATACTTAATCGACAAATAACATACATCAATCTTAGAGGAATGATACCGATGAAATTTATAGTTCGAATGATATATAATGTGTTCACGGAAGGAATAAGGAGATTCCTGTTTTTTTTTTGTCATTCTAGAAGAGAATAGACTGATGGAAGCAGAAATAATTCTCAATGAATCTTTCGTCTTCTTCTTTTGTGAGATAATAATAACTTGAATTTCTAACGACATGGATAATATAAAAGAGAGAGAGAGAGCCAGAAACATATATATATATATATAGAGAGAGAGAGAGAAGAAGAGAAAAAAAAGGAATTGTTTCTTTCGATAATTATTCAACGAAAATGAAAGCTGACTTTCCGGAACAATAGAAATAATGACACAAATATTTGTCGAGTGTTCATCTGTCTCATTATATTTGTTAATTGCAAATATTATATGATAGACGAGTTAAGATTTTTCTAGTGATAAACAATGACGTTATTATTATGATAAACAATGAAAAGATTGATGATTGAAACAGAAGTTAACTGAAGAATGCTTTTTTTTTAAATAATTTAAATAATTATTTAGTTCCAAGTAATAAATAAAAAAAAGAAAAAGAAAACTAATATAGAATAAAATTTATATATAACAATTATTTGATGTGGAAAAATAATTACTAAGATCATATTTTCTTTTCACATAAAAGAATGAATTTATTTCTTTAAATAATTATTTATATTGGGCGTATAAAAATTTTATCGTCTGGAATAATTTCGTTTAATCGGTTAATTTTTTTTCTCTATATATAGATCAAAATATCGTGACTAGATTATTCCATATGTTGAGCAATGTGTAGGATTTAATTTTTACTAAATACTAAAAAACAATATATATATATATATTCATTTTTAGCTACTTCTACTTTATTTCCGTATTTTATACATTAAATCCTGTAAATGTTTTGAAATGATTTTTTAAATGAAATATAATAGTATTACGAAACTTTCCTTTTTTTTTTTTAATTCAGAAAATAACTGATCTTGAGAAATATGCAAAATATGTTTAGAAAGTGATAAAGAAATATTTCGACGATATAATATAATATGCAATAACAAATGAAATGGAAACAATTAAAAGACTGAATATATGATCTTATTTCATTCAAAAGCGATATTTTAAAACAATATCTAGACGAAAATTAGTTAACATAATAACGTTTGACAAATGACTTTTCAAACTCAGAAACAAGAAATGATGATGAAAATTTAAACAAAATATTAAATCATATTTTGCAAGTTTTTGTTTCTACAATCATAGTTTGTCAAGGACATAATATAATAGATAAAAGTGTGATAGTTATATCTTTTGTTTCAATATACGCACGTTGCCTATCTTCGTTTTTTACTGTTCTCTTTCACACATACAGACATCTATACAACCACTATTAGAATTTGTTTTCTTCTTACAAACAAGTAACAATGACCTCTGCTTTGGACGTATCATGTCATGAAGGTAATTTTTTTTTTCTATCATTAAAAAATCGTTTTATATTTATTAGTATTCTTTTTTTTTTTTATGATCGATTATAGAAAGACCATCATTATTATCAGCCTCGAGTGGCTATGAAAATTATCGAGGTTTTCTAAACCTTCTTTATGTCATATTAGGAATTGGAAGTTGTCGGCTTGTGATAGAAAATATTCTTCGATATGGATTATTAATTGATTTTAGTTGGCCTTTAAAATTTTTAAAAGATCCAACGAATTGGCCATCAGTTAGTTTTATTTTAGTAGTTTTTTTTTTTTTTTTTTTTTGTTATTCATTTCAAATTTATTCTTTAGGTATTTCTTATTGTATTAGTTAATATTTTCATTTTAATTGAATTTTGGCTCGAATTAAGACTTTATAAAATTCGTAGATTCAATTTAAAAGTTAAAACTATATGGATATTCTTTCAATTTGTTAATCTAATTGCAATACTTATTTTTCCAGCTGCATATATTTATTATCGTCAACCAAATCCAGTTGGTGCATTTATTGCTATTGGTCTTTATACAATAATTTTTTTAAAACTTTTTTCATATTTACATATTAATTATCAATGTCGACAAGCTTTATTTGGGAAAAAAAAGGGTTATATTTTTTTTTGTTAATCTTAATAATTAAACTTTAACTTTTCTTAGATTCACGTAGACACTCGAGCGTTTCAAAAGATCAAATATTTTATCCAAATAATTTAACATACAAAAATCTTTATTATTTTATATTTGCACCAACACTCTGTTATGAATTAAATTTTCCACGTTCTTCATGTATACGTAAAGGTTTTATTTTACGACGTTGTGGTGAAATTCTTGCACTTGTATCATTACAATATTGTCTCGGACAACAATGGATATTACCTATTTTACTTACACTTGATCGACCACTGAATCAATATTCAGCATTACAAAATATTGAACGTCTATTACGTCTTGCATTACCTAATCATCTTTTATGGTTAATATTATTTTATGTTTATTTTCATTCAATATTAAATTTAATTGCTGAATTATTATGTTTTGGTGATCGACATTTTTATCGTGATTGGTGGAATGCAACTGATATAAATGAATTTTGGAGTCGATGGAATACCATTGTACATGATTTTTGTAAACGACATATTTATAAACCATTAGTTATTCATTATGGTTTTAATAAATTTATTGGTTCATCAGTTGTATTTTTGATGAGTGCATTTTTTCATGAAGTAATTCATAGATCTTTTCTTTTTGTTTTTTTTTTTTTTTTTTTATTATAAAATATTCATTTGTTTTTTTTTTCATTATTTAGTATCTAATTAGTGTACCATTACGTATGATACGTCCATGGAGTTTTCTTGCTATGATAATACAATTACCAATGGGTTTAGTTGTTAAACGAATAAGTGCTGAAAATAAAACATATGGAAATTTAGCCGTATGGATATCACTTATTCTTATACAGCCAATTGCTATTCTTCTTTATATACAAGATTTATTTTATCGAGATTTTGTCAAAGATAAACTTCATTCTTAAGTCTATATAATCCAAAAAGAAAATATATATATATATAAACATGCATACGCAAAGATTGACATAATATGTGTAGTTGGTTACTTTTTTTTTTTTTTTTTCTATTGTAATATTCATAAAAATTTATCAAAGGAAAAAACAGCAAAAATAATAATTGGAACGTGCATGTATTATTTCATTCTTGTCGTCTTTACGGATATAATGTCGATATAATTTTCCGTTCGAGTTCACAGACGTATTAAGTCTACTATTCATTCAATGCATTAGAAAATAGCACACAAACGAAGCAAATAATTCATCATATTGCATGGTGATCAACATAGAGAGATTTTACTAATGTCTATCTCGGTATTATTTCTTTGTATTGTATGTGAAAAATAGATACTAATCAATTAAATAACACGAAAGCTGAAAGAAAAAAAAAAAAAAAGAATCTAACACGATATAAAATAGATATATTATTTGTTGTTCACTTGAAATGATTGAATTAATCAAATGTATTCAATTTTTTTTTTTTTTATGATCTATTTTATTCAAATCTATTTCACAGTTGTTTTCACAATATCATAGAGCAAAAACATATACGAATACACGAAAAAAGAAAACAAAATCAGGCGCACATTATACATCTATAATTGAGTGAACATCACCCATATTTGATTTGTGTTGTTTTTCTGTTTTCTTATTGAAATATAAAACAAAAATGACGCACATATATAATATACGTATGTATATCGACGATAACAAAACAAAAAATATAGACCATTGGCAGCAAGACCCATTTTGAAAGACATGCAATAGAAAAACAAATCTGTGTAAAGAAACCAAAATAAGAATGAAAGAACTTAGCCCTTTATTCAATATCGGAAGATAAGAAATTCTTCTTTTTTTTTTTCTGTATTTCTCCCTTAATAAAATACCAATGTTACTTATTTGTTTGTTTGTTTTTTTTTTCGAATGTTCTTTAAAATAACTCAATTTTTTTTTCTCTCTATGTATTATGAAGTAATCGTAGCGCCCGTATCATTAATAGTTGAATTGAAGATGATTTGTCGAAGTTGTTGAGATATAATACCACAATTGGAAAATTGTTTTTCGAATAGACGACATAAACGAGCAATCTTGAATGAATAATAGAGTAGAACAGGAAGAAATATATAATATATCATTTGAATGAGACAATAGGTTTGGTTTTTTTTTTTATCAAGTTATGTCTATGTTTTTTTCTTCGATTTGATTAATTTATAGAAAAGAATGAAAATTTTTCGGATAAAAACAAAACAAAACAAAAAAAAAGAATTAATTGAAGATATAAATTGATAAAGTGCAAACTATAGAAATCTTATACAAGGAATAGCAATTCTGTTTAAACTCATTATAACGACTTTGTATTTAGTGTTATATCTACTATTGAAAATATTTCTAAACAATGTCGTCATCATTACGAGTTTCTAAAGTTACTTTCTTTTGTATAGAACATTTTATATTTCTATATTCAATAATAATTTCCTATTTTTTCTTTCTCTTAATCTTCCTGTTATTCTTCAACCCGTATTAATTAAATAAAATTTTCTCAAATTAAAATTTATCATAAATTATAATCAAATCGAACGAAAAAAAGAGAGAGAGAGAGGGAAGAAAATAATTTTGTTAAAAATAAAATTTAATTGACTTACTTTAATTTTATCTTCCATCGATGTAATTAGTCGTTGTAGAATGCTAATAAATAAAATAAACAAAAACATCGCTTACCTGTTGGAATAAATTTGACATACGTGACATAGATCTCTTGGCAATGAGTATTATGTATCAATTGTTTAACAAATGCATCAAAACGAATCCATATTAATGTATTACAATCTTTTTTTATTGAAACATCTAATAAACGATATATAAATCTAAATTAATACAAAAAAAAAAACCCGAAAAATCTTGTAAAATTGTTTTATTTTTAAAATAAATCCTACGGTTTAATAATCCATTCATATTGATCATTATGTATTGAAAGAAAACAATCAATAATAATATCAAAAACTCGACCAATTTGACTAATTCGAAAGAATGAATACATCATTAATATTTTTTGTTGATCATCATTATTTGTTATTAAATAATTTAAAATTTTTAATATCATTTGTCGTTGTACATCAATTGAAAAATCCGAAAAATGATTAAGTATACTAATAAAATAAAAAATATGAAATTCAATAATTAAAAAGAAAAAAAAATATATATATATTACTCAAGAATTGTTATATCACGTAATTCACCATTGTATCGTATAAGATTTTGTTCAATTTTCTTTTGTTTCAATTCATTATTGGAATCCAACCTATAGAATAAGATAAAAAAAAAAAAACATTTGTTTGTTTTTTTCATGAAATTATTTTAAAAATAAAAATAAAAGAAAAACAAAAATTTCCCACGATAAATGACAAAGATCAGAAAAGAATTTTTCACGATATGTTTTCGTTTGAATCGATTCATTGTTTAATATTGATTGAATATTTATCGATGAAGACTAAATAAATAAATAAATAATTATTCAAATTTCTTCGAGATTTATATTCTACCAAAGAATAAATAAATTCAAAATAAATTCCTGTTGTTTTTCTAGCACGTTCAAGAGTCTAGAAAATAAAATGAATAATTTTATGAGAAAAAAAAAATATATATATATATATTTCTTTTTTGCTGTTAACAATTTACTTCAGTAAGATTATTTGATATTTCTGGATTTAATAAAAGTTCAATCCAAAGTTCAATTGAACATGGAAATTCTTCAATTAATGTTTCAATATAATGTTTTGATTGATCAAATCTATATATGATTATATTAGATAAGATTAAAAATATTCAAAATTATTCAAACCTTTTAGTAGCATTTAAATAATGAATTTTATTAATATACAAAGCAAAATTAGTTTCCGATAATTCCATTGGATTGATAAAATCATCAAAGAATTTATCTATTTCATCTTGTGAATGTGAATAATTCGATAGTGCATACCAAGGACAAATAAATGGTTCAAGCTACCAAACAAAAAAAAAATATTTTCCCATTTTCAATGAATAGAAAAATTTCAACGAACATATATTTGTTTATCGAAGCGATTTTCATCTATTTGTTGATACAGAGTTTGAGGAAATGAACCGAATACAAATGTATATAATAAAACTAAGATAAGATATATTCGATGTTCACTTTCAAGAAAAGAATTCGATAAATAATTCTAAATATTGAAGAAAAATAAAAATTCAATTATTGATTTTTAATTTGATTTTTACTTTGATCTTTTCATATGTTTGATCACAATTTAATGTAAGATTACCATGAAACATAGCTAATTCACATATTGCATATGAACGATTATGAAAATCAAATTCATCCGATTGTATATATGTTAAATAAATTGTTATTAATTCTTCTACATTATTTGTACATAAATAGAAAATCTAATAAACAATCAAATAGAATAGAATTTTATTTTTATGCTTTGTTTTCTTTCTTACCGTCCAAAATAAATCATAACTTTGAGCATTTTTAAGTGCAGCAAAACATAAAAGATGTAATTCATCATGAGACATATGCCAACTCGAAAATTCAAGATAAAGACACCATAATTGTGCATTGGTTCGCTGAGATTCAAGACCTTCAACTAAATCGGCAACGGCTTGTTCAGGTGAAAAATCATCTCTAAATAAAAAAAAAAAAAGAAATCATTGGTCCAAGTCTTGAAAGACTAAAATGTGAAATATGATGTAGCTGCTATTTTACTAATCACAGGGAGATTATTTTACTCTAAGTATTTTAAGACATATTTCTTTACGATTTTTTTTTCTTCATCCTTCATATATGAGAACAGGAAGTTATTGATATTATGGTCTTTGACCGTATATCAAAACGTCTGTTACAGTCTGTGAGGAGAGTGCAAAATTTTACGCCTATACTTCAACTTATGTTGCCAATTTTCTATCAAAAACACGACGGTTCGAACGGTTTATTCCTTTTTTTTATCAGGTTTTTCTATTATTTCTTGTTTAAATTAATATTTTTTGTCTTGAAGAGATCGATATTAAAATGCTACAATATATCATGTTAGATAGCCTTATATTTTTTCCTATTGATTAAGTCGCCTAATTAACGATTGTTTCTGTGGCAACATCTTTAGTAAATTTTCAAACTCGAAAATTAAATGAAAACAGCTTGTGTGATTTATACAGATTGAAATCTAACATTTTTTCTAAAAGTTTTAAAAAAACTCAGCAGAAGAACTGCAGTTTGTACCATATAGGAATATTCTCCTTTTAGATTGTGTTTCATCAAAAATAACCGATTCCTCTATTTTTTTAAATACAAAATAATGCTTTCATTATTAATACAGTTAAACAAATCTAAGAAACACTCAAGAACAGATTACATGTCTATGAAAGCAATGCTAGGTTTAAATTTCAGAAAGAAAGAGATTGACTCGTGCTGATTTCCGTGGCATTTGTAAACTACTTCTTAAAACCAATGATTTATATTAAAGGGTGTGGGTGTGGGTGTGGGGTGTGGTCGTGTGTGTGGGTGTGAATGTGGGTGTGGGTGTGGGTGTAAGTGTGGGGTGTGGTGGGTGTGAGTGTGGATGTGGTTGTGGGGTGTGAGGTGTGGGTGTGGGTTTGGGTGTTTTTCCTGTTCTAGAGATACTATCAGCCACAGCCACAGCCACAGCCACAGCCACACCCCACACCTCACAACCACATCCACACCCACACCAGCACCCACGCCCACACCCACACCCACACCCGCACCCACCCTCAAGATAGTGATGGTGAAGGCTCAATACATGAGGGGGGTCGATAAGTGTATTTGTCCCGACTATGCAAAAATGTCATGAAAATTTAACAGAGAAAATTGATTTTAATAGAAAAAGAATATTCACATAATGTACATATTTTTTAGATTGGAGTCAGGAAATTCATCTTGCTATGGTTAACTATTCGCAAATATTTCATTGACTAACTTGAATATTAGCATTAACGACTAGCGTAATTAAGTAGTTATTTTAAGTTGTCTTTGACTCCTAAAATATATTTTAAAACTCAAATGTTAATTCGCTTCCTAGGGAGTGTATTTGAACTTCTTTCCTTTGCCCACACAACCCCATGAGCATATTAAAAAATATGACATCTATAAAAAGACATAATTACTATCATATTCGATTTTTTTCACCTAGCCCAATGAGCTACCTATCAAACTATTAAAGAAATATATATCAATCATTTTCACTACTGAAGAACTATTCATATTAATTTTTCGTTCGAATTTTTTAAGAAAAAATTTTATATCTTTCTTCTATGATAATTTAAATACAAATAGTAAAATTTTAACGTACGAATCAAGTTGACTTGATACACTAACAAGTATTGGATGAATCATAGAACAACTATGATTAGTTGTTTTATCTCGAAAATATCGAAAATCTTCATGATAAATTGAAAGATAACGATCAAGTTTCATTCGACCTTATTACAAGAAAAGAAAAAAAAATCAAACAACAACAAAAATAATATATAAATAATATTAAAGAAAAAACTTACATCGTTGATATTGTTTCTCACAAATTTTTTTTTCAAATATAGATAAATCCATATCAAATGATTGTAATGAACAAATACTATCAATATTATTTAAAATTTCTAATAAACAATACATATTTAATATATTATAAATAATTATTTTATCAAACAAACTTTGTTTATTTTTTTCATTAAATTTTTTTGATGATAGAAATTGTTCAATACGATTAGAAATTTGATGTTGATGTTGACTAAGAGAAATAAAAAAAAATAATTTGTTTATTCAATACTTCCAAAATGCGAAAAAAATGTCATGGCAGTAGCTTTTATAAAGTTCGAAAAAAAAAATTTTCTATCTATATATACCGATAGTTCAAATTATTATATTTCACAATTCTTCATTTGATATGATTATATTAGAATTTCGGTCCATCCTACAGTGACGTATCCAGGATTTTTCAGTATGCTGAATCTTGACTTTTGAGTATGGGACCCAAATGAAACTCATAGAGGGTGATGTTGAGTCCAAATGATGGAATTTTATCAAAAAAAATTTGCATTCAGAGTTTGCGAAAAAAAATTAGCATTTTCCTGATCCCCCCTCCTAGGATTTTTTACTGTTAGTATTATCT